TTACGTTTTGGCCATATGGCCAAGCACTGCAAGGGGAGTGCACGGTGCTATAAGTGCGGAAAAGAACATGAGAGAAAGGACATTTGCACTGATATTGCTTGTGCCAATTGCAAAGAAGGCCATATGGCAACATCACCCCATTGTGCAGCCAGACAAAAGGAATTCGCTATTCAAAAGTGTATGGCCTTGGAGAATATGTCCCGAGCAGAAATTAAGAAGACTCATCCGTCTCTCTTTAAGAGGACGGTGCCTGATCTAAGAGATCAGTCAGAATTCCCTTTTTTAAGAAGGCTAAATAATAGCTCAGGAAAGCGCGAGTACAGCAGCCACGAAGTGGCGAAGGAGGTGCATCCCATTGCACCATATGCCAGGGTAGCTAGGCTTCCAGGCAGAGCTCTCGGGGAAACATCCAAGCCCAAGCCGTCCAGATACGGCAATACAACTAGTCATAACTTGGCAGATACCGCTCACAGAGCGGAGGTGCTTGAAGTTGGTACCACCAAAGTGTCTTTAGCCCAAGAAAAACTTAATATAGTGGAAAAGAAAATATCTAACTTCATAACGGACCCAAATAGCGGAGCGGGCCCATCTCTACAGTTCTGGGAGGAAATCAGGGATCTCATAAATGCTGCTAATGCGGAGCTAGATGCAAATCAAATTTGCATCGCCTCGGCCTTGACAAGCACAGCAACAATATGAGAATCCTCCAATTCAACATCCAAAGCCTGACTTTCAACAACAACAAACAAATTCTTCACATGTTCCTCCTAAACAACAACATAGACATCGCCATTCTGTCGGAAATATGGGTGAAAGACAATTCAGAGTGTGGAATTCCTGACTTTAACTTTTATGGAAAGCCAAGGGAAGACGGATACGGTGGAGTAGGGATGTACATAAGAAGGGGAATCAAATTCAAAATCCTAAAGATTAAAAACGACATGGAATGTATGGGCATTCAGACCCTAAATCTAAAGAGAAATTTGTGCCTTTACGGTATCTATGCGGCCCCCTCATTATCAGTGTCTATCCTGAAAAAGGGGGCAAAAGAAATTTTCGAGTATGCGGCATCATTGAGCATTGCTTCACTAATATGTGGGGATTTTAATGCCAAATCCACAACATGGGGCAGCTCCAGTAGCGACGGCAAAGGACATGGCTTGGAACGGGCGGCAGCTAACTCGGGCTTTGTATGTATGAACGACAGCTCCCCTACGTTTTCTCGTTGCCCAGGTCAAAGCTCGGTGCTGGATCTGACTTTCTGCAATACGAGTAGTATTCAATATAGATGGCAGGCTCAAAGCAGCAAACTAACAAACAGCAACCATTTTCCAGTCTTAATAGACTTGGTCCAATTCTGCGCGAATACAAGTCACAAAAAGGTACTTCATAATAGGATTGCGAGAGTTTTCGCTAATAGTGACTTTTCAAACCTGGATTCACTCAATGGCAATGTTCGCCTTATCACAAAAACCAATACAATTACGGTATCAAGCAAAAACAAATATGTACCCAAGAGATGGTGGAACGAGGAAGTTGACAAGCTGTTTCGCCTTAGAAATGCCTGCAGGAAAAAGTTCTATTTCACCAAAAAGCTGGAAGATGCGGAGCTACTCATGGTAGCAGAAGCAAAGCTGCAAAACCAAATAAAAAACTGTCGCAGAGCTAATTTTAGGCAGTATATTGACGAAATGACGACAGCTCCCACACTGTGGAATGGAACAAGACATTTAAAACTTTATAAAAGAATGAAAAGGACAGCTAACACCTGGTCAAAAGCAGAGGACGAGGAGTTCCTTATGATAGTAAAGAACACGCCAACCACAACATTCAGTTGTCCACGTATGGCGACATCATTGGTCCAGGAAGGGGTCCCCATTTTGTTTAACTTTGAGGATTTTATGTCAGTGTTGAATGCGAGAAATCCAGATTCGGCATGTGGGCTCGATGGCATCTCGTATAGGATGCTGCAGACATTACCGAACCCTAAGAAGAATCAACTTTTTAATATGATAAACGACATTTGGCGGGCTGGAGTCTTCCCAGAATCCTGGAGACAGATCAGGCTGGTGCCGGTACCAAAAAAGGGCTCAAACTCTGACCTCGTTTGTAACCACAGACCAATCTGCCTGCTTAGTGTTCTGTTAAAAACAGTAGAGGGTCTAATCAAAATGAAATTCGACGAACATATTGCCAGTCGCGACCTGCTACCGGAAAGATCATATGCTTTCAGGAAAGGAAGATCGACAGCTCTATGCATAAACGATCTAATTAACAAGATCCAATACCTTAAGACTGAGGGTTTCCAAGTTGTGGCAGCATGTCTAGATCTAAAAAAGGCTTTTGACTGTGTGGATATTGAAACCTTAGACCACCAGCTTCGTGCCGTGGAGTTTGATCCACACCAGGTAAGGTGGATAACTGATTTCCTCCGACGCAGATATCTGGTAAAGGGGTCGAGCAAAGCTGAAATAAATAGAGGAGTTTGCCAAGGTAGCTGCTTAAGTCCCACTCTTTTCAACATTTACACAGCCAAGTTACACACCATAAACAATTCGAACTGTCTGCTTTTTCAATATGCAGATGATTTCTTTCTGATCTGTTTTCACAAGAAGTTTGATTTAGCCGTTTTAACGCTAAGTGAAAGAATAGAAAAATTTGAAAGAGAATGCAGCAGGCTCAACTTATCTTTTAATCCAGCCAAATCCAAAGTCATTCACTTCAGCTCACGCAGAAGACAACTAAATTTGGTAAGCCAAGGTTTCCACATTAAGGAAGTTGCACAAATCAGCTATTTAGGCAGGAACATAACAGCAAATAACTCGGCATGCACCCATATTAGTCAGGCTATCTCAGAGGCCAATAAATCATGTGCGTTCATCAGGCTCTTTAGCGGCTGTCAATACGGTGTCAGTCCTAGGCAAGGAATCTTGTTGCACAAGGCTTTCGTCAGGAGCAGGCTGGAATACGCGTGCTCCTCTTTTAGCAGCCTATCCAAGACAGCCCTAGCTAAGGTCAAAAGCCATACCAATATGCACCTGAGAAAAGCGTTAGGACTAATAAAATGTACCCCCATTCAAATCATCTACCACATGGCAGCAGAGATGCCACCGGATTTCAGGATTTTATTCCTCACAGCCAAAGAATTGGCAAAAGCATTTGCTTTCAATTTACCAGTCTGCGATTTGCTGTCATCCACCAGCACGATAAACACTAGTTATGCGAGGGTTTACAGGAGGTTTGCTAACATACTAGACCACATTGAAGAGATTCCTCTAATACCTCTCAAATGCGCAAAAATGAAAGGAGACACGGATTTTTTGAAGGGCTCAGCAAGAAACAAGCAGTCCATGGATAATTCAACCATGCGCCTGATTTTTAATGAGAAAGCCTCCAGTCTGAGAAGCAGAGGCTTTAAGCTATATTTTACCGACGGATCGGTCACCTCCAGCCACTCAAGCTCTGCTTTTTTGCAGGAAGAATCAGGGTTTGTAGATAGTTTCTATACAAACAAAATCCTCTCGTCTCTCTCCTCAGAGCTTATTGCAATTGAAAAGGCAGTTGATCATGCAATCTGGTTGAGAATTTCCCATGTGGCAATTTTAACGGACAGCCGAGGCAGCGTGCAAACACTAATAAATCATTCGCTTAACAATTCCATAGCAAACAACATTAAAAGAAAAATTAATAACTGTTCCAGTGTTTTAGCTGTAGAGTTACATTTCATACCGGGACATGTGGGTATTCCCCAAAATTCCGCGGTGGACACGGCAGCCAAAAGAGCAACAACAGACGGCACCTTCATGGTGCTAAAATGGAGCTTAAAGGATGCAGTGCGTACCATGTACAGTCTAATCCATGACGAATGGGAACTAGAGTACGCCAGATTCGTGGCAGAGAAAAACAGAGCATACTGCGCACTTTTTCCGACCACGCTTGGAAAACCGTGGTTCCAAAATAAGAGCTGCAATTTTAACGCAAACAATACAAAACTAATTAATAGACTGCTTAGTGGATACACATTCGATAAAGTCACTCTTTCAAAAATGCATGTTATCGACGATAACAAATGTAACAGCTGCGGCGTTCCCGATAGCGCATCACACATCATATTTGAATGTCCAAAACATAATACAAATCGACAACGCGTCCCATCGCTAACCAAATATAACAATCTGCACTCTTTCTTTAAGCATGAGGCGGTTCAAGAATATAACGCAATAGTAAACTTCATAAATGACACAAAAGTCAAACTGTAATTTCAAGCAACATCCTACATTTATCTAGTGTGGCAATTTCCACTTCACCAATAAGTGGGCGGCCAAATAATTCCACAATACCCAAGGGCATCGTGGTAACTTAAACCCAAAAAAAAAAAAAAAAAAAAAAAAAAGTTGCGGTTGAGTTAAGGTTGCCGCGCTGTGTCTAATTCTTCGAAGTTAACATGATAGTAAAAAACGCAATAAATTATAAAATATATTCAAATGAAAATAAAATGCTATTGCACAACTAAATGCATTATCAGCATATATATATATATAACAATATATATATTTATCAAATAAATCTGCTAGCGGTAGCATGAAAATATTATTAACAAAATTGTGAGTGGCAGTGTTAAGAAAATGGCGGCCAGCTTCAACATTAAAAACCAGCCACAACAACAACCGCTGGCACACAAACATCGTAAGCAGCTCGGAGCTTAACAACTTTTTTTCATTTTGACTGCACAAATTAATTTTGGGTTTTATGTTTTACTTTTGTGTAAGTCTGTCTATCAGTCTGACTGTCTGTCTGTCTGCCAGCCTGTTGTGTACGCGCGTGTTGAACTCGTAAAAAAGCGTTGACAAGAGTTTAGATATTGTATCTCGGTATGTGTGTGTTTGGTTGCTTGGCCCCGCGTGTGCCGCCGCCAACAATGTTTGTAGAAAATGTCATAAAAAACGAGAAACTCATCAACGGCGACAGCAACAACAATTAATACCTTGGTACAATTTTACAATTGTTTACTTTTGTGTCTGTGTGTCAACTTTCGTCGCGCTCATTTCCCAGAGTGCTTTTCACCCAACAACAAAAACAGCAACAGCTTTGTGGAAATTCAAAATACTAATCGACACGCTCTCTAACAAGGTTTGTATTTGCATAAATTGAATTAACGTGATTAGTTTTTAAGCGGCTTATAAACTCTACACCCACGCATAAACTCTACAAATGTTTTTGTTTTGATGCCGAATCCTGCTGCCAACGTCGGCGTCGGCGCTGGCTTCGCCATCTGTCATTTGGTTGCTCTAAGGGTTGCCAGCTGTTTGTTGGTCGGCATCGGCTACATGCCCTATTGAAAATGAGACGCATCTGCCTGTGGCACAGGAAATTGTCTTTTCTCCTTTTTGTTTCCTTAAGAAAAACGCATGCAGCTGCTGGCTTATGTAATTAATAATTTAACACGTGTCTTGTCTGCGGTCGCGTCACGCTTGGTCGCATATGCTGACGCGTGCTGCGACTTTTCCAGACAATAGCATGTGCGGCAACACTGGTTTGCCATTTTTTGTTGTGTTTTTTCGTTTTACCTTTTTGCATAATTTATTGTCTGTTAAGTTGTTAACAAAGCTCCCCATTTGCCAATTAATAATAAGTATCTTATTACAATTTTGTAGTGTCGCTTGACTCTAAAAATTCAATCTCCGTTTAAATTGTCGTTCATTCGGTCAACGCCATCTACTGAGCCATGAGCTGTTGTTTTTGTTTTAACACGCACAGATTGCGCCATAAAACTCATATAAATCAATAGAAAGCGCAGTGTACACACACACACACACACACACATTTACACTCTAACGCACACACATATAGAGGTTCATAACTCACTTGCCATAATAAGCTGAGCTGCTCTCGCTCACTCAATGCCAATGCTCGGTGGAGATTTGTGTGGGAAATCAAATGGCTTGTCGTCGCATCGCAACTTAAGCAACAACAACAACAACAACGAGACTGCTCCAATGAAGTGTTAGAATTGTTTGTTGTTGGAGCAGGGGAAGCGACAATGACATTCTCACTGTGAGAGTACGGGAGCGAGAGCGCGTGACAACTGCGCACGAAGTTTTTAAGCCGTTTTGAAGTTTTGGTAACTCTCTCTTCTCTTTCTCTCAGGCTCTTATTGGCTTCATGCAGCAAGCAAAGTGGTTGACTCGGTTATCGGCCTGCATGTGAGTGTGTGGGTTGTATTTGTGTGTCTTTTTGTAGCCACTGTGGGACTATAAGTTTCGAAAGCAGTTTCCCAAAATATCGTGTGTCCAACTCAGTTTTACTGTGGTTTCAGGTTCTTCAAATCACCAACTACACTATGGTCTTGGAAAGCGAATTTATTATTAGCCCTTTGACATATGAAAAGTATAATAGTTATTGGAATAACTGACATTTTTTAACACATTAATTAGGATTTCATTGAAGATTAATGATTTTAATACAAAAAGTAAAACTAGCAGGTTGCAAATCAGTTGTGTGTCGATTAGGGAGTAAGAGAAAACAGTTTGCTCTTGGTCTACAAGAAACTGAGGAATTTGTGGAGGAACACAACGTCAAGGACTTTTCTGCCTGAACTCAATTTCCACGCTCTTACTACTTACTACATTTGTTGGTCCCACTGTGCAACCAAATGTATAACAAACATAAAATAGCTGCATTTTTACGCTCATTGGCGCTCGCACTGGAGACGACCACAGCGACCACGAAAGTTACTTATTCGCCTTGCCTCAGGGAGAAAGCATGGGGCAGATGGTGGCTTCATGTTTTTTCCATTTATTAACTAATTTGCCAGTAGCTACAAATTGCCGTGGAATTGTTTCAATTGCAACAAATTGGTTGCTTGCCGCAAAAATCGAGCATAGTAGTAATAAAGCAAAACTCAGGCAGGCATTTGCGCATAATGTGTGGCAAGTTGGAGCTTCCTCTCTTCAGACTACCTTGCTCGTACGCTCTCGCACTCTCCTGCTCGCTGCCTCTCAATCAGTGCTACCAATTTAGCTCTTTTCCCGCCAGCTATTATTGCCGATGGCTGAAAAAATTTTAAATTGCAAGGTAAATCTCCTTCAAAGAGACTTGCAAACCATTTTAATTATTTTAAATATCATGTTGTAGAAATAATATTATTTTCATTAGTTAAATGATTGCAACTCCGACTTAATTATATTATGAAACTGAAAATGTTTTCCCTTTCAAAGTAAGCTGCGAATCAACTTTTTACCTCAATGCAACACGTGTTTTAATTTGTGAATGCATCCAAAAGAACATTTTTAATTTTTTATATTTTCTTAAATTAATTGAGCCTCTAATTGATTTTATTTCTCTTTTGTTGCGTTCTTCATGCAACCAACGAGTTTAAATCTTACATTAGTATTATTTTCAAAATTATGATTGCCCATTATTAAAATGTATCCCTACTACCCTTGGCAGTTTAATCTAGTTGTATAATATAATAATAATATTGTATAAACAAATCTATTCGTAAAATATAAGTGAACGCTTTAAATCGATCAAAGAGTTTAAATTAATATTGTTTTCAAATGTATTATTTATTATTGCTCATTATTAAAATTGTTCCCTACTACCCTTGGCAGTTTAATCTAATTGTATAATGTAATACTAATATTGTGTCAGCAAAACCATTCGTAAAATATGAATGAACGCTTGTAAATCTTTAAAATATATTCAGATTCCTGTATATTTGTCTTTTAATAGCTATTTCTAGCCTTTTTTGAACAATTTTGAACAACAACACTGCCTCGAAACTTGATGCACCGGGGCATAAGTGTAGCGGCAACTGCGAGGACTTTTTAGAGCTCTGGAGCTGGAGCCATGTTTCAATACGCTTTGACTTGCGGTCGTTGTCGGCTCGTATGCCCGCTCGCTCGCTATTTCGCTCACAACATCGCGTCGCCATCTTCAGCAGGCAGCAAGCAGCAGCAGCGGCTCCAACAACTTTTTTTCCTATTTGGCTGCTTACTTGTTTTTTCGGCCTCTCCGCGTGTGCTCGTATATGTGTGTGTGTTTGTGCTTAGCTTATCTATGTGTGTGTATTTGTGAAAAAGAAATTTTGCACATCAGAATTTTCATAAGCAATTTTCTACTGAAAAATCAATTGCAATTTTAATGAATTTTATATTTAACGCTCATTTCGCGCGTGTTTAAGTGTTTCGTGTAAAAATCGCGGCATAAATATAATTTACAAAATGGTAATTTGCATATTTTTGGCACAGTTGTTGCCAACAACCAAAGAAAAACGATATTCTTGACTTGCTTGAAGTGTGTGCTTGTGTGTGGGAATTAAGTGTCTACATGCATTTGTATGTGTGTGCGTGTGTGTGTGTGTGTGTGTGCGAGCGTAGTAGCAAATGCCGCACTATGCAAGTATCCTGTGTGTGTGGGGGGTGTTGGGTGGCAAGCCTTTTTAATTTATTTGCCATGAACGCTATAAAAAAAAAGTTCAATATAGCTGTAAAATGCTGTACCACTCTTCATAATGCAACCGCTTTTGTCTCTTGTTCGCGTTTTTTGACCAAAAACAAACAACGCTTTAACCGCTTTTGGCTGCAATTGTTGTTGTTGTTGTTGCCGCTGCTGCTTGTTCATGTTGTTCGTTGCGTACGTGCTGACTGCCTTATTTGGGCTCTGTCTTCAGGTCTGCATTTGAAGTCTGACTGTTTGACTGTCCGTCCAAGCCATATGCGTTGTCTTCGTTTGCATTAACCGTTAACTGCACGTAGATGTCTCGCCCACATACACGTACACGTACACACTCACTCACAAACACACACATACTCGTACAAGTTTCAACACTTTTGACACATCTTCCATTGCATTTGACTCCTACGAGCTTTTTATGGACGCAGTTGCTGTCGTTGTTGTTGTTGTTGCTGCTGCTGTTCTTGACAGGCATTGCGCCTGAAACCTGAAACAAAACGAGAGACAATGCACTAATACAGCAACAACGACACAAAAAAAAGTAAAACAACAACAACTACACCAACAAACCAAACCATACCAAACTCCCTTACACAGGCAAAACAAGTTTTTATGCCCAGGCTGCCTCTGGCCATTGTTGTTGTTGTTTTTGGTTTTGTTGTTGGCAGCCATCGTCGTTGCAAGATCAACATCTTAGCTATCGACAGGCAGCAAGCAACACCAGCATCGTCAACACCATCTTTGTTGTTGTGGTTTTGGTTGTTGTTGTAGTTGCTGGCATCTTTGTTCTTCTTGTTGTTGTTGCTGTTGCTGTCGCTGTCGCTTGTCGTGTAAGCAACTTTTTCTGCTACTTTTTCAGGCTCTGCTACCTACTACCCAAGTACATAATGTCTACTACACTTTTTACCAACTGGGCGTGGTTGCCAAAACGCAACGAATGCTTATGGAAATGCACTCAAAAATACAAACAACAAAAAAAAAAAAAAAAGAAAAAATTGAGCAGACCCGTGTGGGCTGAGACGAAGAACAACAAAAACAACAGCTAGTATATGCAATACAAAACAAGTGTAGCCAGTTGCATTTTTTCTTCCCCATATTTTACTTTTTCGAAAGTGTAGCAACAACGGCAAATGCGTCTCGGCTTGTCATATGCAAATCACCCGCAGTTCAACAGCAACATGGACACAACAACAACAGCAACAAGAGAAAAGGGTTGTCAATAAGCTGTCCATAATGAACTGTTGCTGGGCCTTTTTTATCAAGCGGCTTAATGACACCCACACACTTGCACATACATTTATACACACGAGTATATGTATGTACTTGTATGAAGGAAGGCATACTGACAGGCTGTGTGGCACGTTAATAAACATGAGCATGGCCCGCGCTTCATTTCATTTTGGCCACCCCCCATCAGCAACAACAACAAGAGTATTGCATGTCTGGAGGGTTCGGGGGTTGGCAAGTCAACTATGTTGATGTTAATGTGGCCTGGTCTGATAGATTTGCCGCTTTGCCATTTTATTGCGCTCCATTTGGCTGATTACTCATGCCAGTAAACTTTAACGGCCTGCACAGAACGACAATGGCAACAAAATCCAAAACAAAAGCTAGAAGCGACCACTATCCTTGAAGAAGATTGCACATTGAATGCTCTATTAAATATGTGCATACATATAGTACATACGTACATAACTATCAATCATTGTTTCATTTCCGGCATCGAAAAATGATAAGCTATAGTCAATCAGGGAATTATTTCGCACAAATACGAGTCTACTTATACAATGATTTTAATTCAAGGCAATAGCTTTCCATACAAAGCAAAAAGGAACCACTTCAATCGAAAACATTTGGGTGCAAATTATTTGAATGTCTGACCCCCAGGTCTTAAATAATTAATAATATTGTTAAATGTTTTCAAAAGGAAAACAAGTGCAATCCACACTTATGAATAATTTATATTTCATTTCATTATTTTATGAATTCTGTTAGTATTATAGTAGTAGTATATGTATTAAATATCTTGAAGTATTTAAGTCTGAAAAACATTATATTTTAAATAAATGGATTCACAAATATCTTCCTTCAAATTTATGAAGGGTAGGGGATGTATCTGGACTCTAAAACGTATACCTACCAAGTTAGAGAGATAGACCTATCCATATCGTTATGTTTCATGATGGGTGTCAAAAGTTATTGGAATTCTTTTGAAACTCTCTTACAACTTTTAATTAAAGATATCATTATAGTATAAGAATTGGTTCGCAAAATTTGTTTCTTAGAATGCTGATCTGCATTGAATAAAATAAAATGTTAGCGAGTAAATAAATGCATGATTTCCATCAGCTATTATAAATGTTAGTTATAAAGAACATGTATATTATTCGTACAGATGCGGTTGCTTGCCACGCCCCGCAACCTTTTTATGGTGTTGCCAATATTATGACGGCTTAATAATACCCCAACATTAATAGAGCATAAAAGATTGCAGGTTCCATTGTCGTGGCGTGCTGTTCAAAGCACTGCCACACAGCCATAATTATTTTTAGTTTCCTCAGCTCCCAACTTCAAAACCGCAACTTCGCTTCATTGCATGTACTCATGTATGTGTGTGTGTGTGTGTGTGTGTGTGTGTGTGTGTGTAAATGTCTATGTGTGTGTGTGTTGAGTATAACGACAATCAATAAATCTCGCAGCCTGCCTGCCGCCCTTTTTGTATTATTTTTCCCAACACTATAGCGACGGCGACTTTTGTAGCCGCCCCAGCGTCAAATTGCATTTCCAATCAGTTTTTATGCTCAGCCAACAACAATGCCGCACACATACAGAGATACACAGATAGGCTGCAAATCAAATGATAGTGGCAAAGACCGCCGCCACACACACAGCCATAAACGCAGTTTATGCTCATTATGATTACTCACCAGTTAACCAACCACCCACTACTCTACACGAGCAACAACAAACACGAGAGCGTCGTACCAATACAATAGTTTTGCCTTATCTATAGGCAATGTATGTGTGTGTGTCATGTTTGCAATTAAATGTACAACCAACAAAGGCCCTATAAAATGTAGTAAAAGAACAAAACCGAAAAAAGTTGTTGCTCTTGTTGTACCCTAAAGCCGGCATGCCGCATACAAAACCCAACAGTTCAACAACATTTGAAAATGTGCAGCTGGGTGGTTGGGCAAAAGTTTCAGCAACAACAGTAACGAAAACAATAACAACAAAAGCCCACTGTGGAGCGCACCGACCGCCGGCATCTAGACCAGGGGCGTGGGCGGTGGTTTTGCTCGTGATCCATCCTGGCCCTGCCTGCACACGCGTGATTGTTTTGATTCAAGTTGATACAGTAGAAAAAGCATTGTGCAAATTTTAATTATAATTAAACATTTCCTATTAAAAATATAAATACCTTTCACGCGATTCTATACATTTACGGTTATGTTTTCTTATTTGATCGAAAAAGCATTCAATTTCTGCACCTGGTTGGGAGATTTTAATGATAATATCATTCGTTTTCAAATGCCAAACCTGAAAATGGTCATACTTTTCTGTTAACAAGCTATTCAATGTGATAGATAGACTCACTAAAAATAACATTGTCAGATTTTCTTGCATTTTGTAAGCTGCAGCGATCTTTTTATTATTGTAAGACATAATTATAGGATTAATGTTTTGCAAAATTATTGCATTTTAGCTCACCCATAGCCTTGTTTGGCTTCATTCAACATGTTAAGAAATCTATCCAATCGGTCCTCTTAGAGCATTCAAAAAATAGTTATATATGTACATACATTAATTTTTATATATTTATCATTAATGCATATAATTTAATTTGCGTGTTTTTCACAGTTCATTTCGTGCCCATCTCTAAGGCAACCCACATTTGTGTATCGCAGTTTGATATACTACCCTACTATAAGCTATAACAACGACCACAGTAACAATTACTGCGTGCTCTCTCAGCTGATTCGTGTGCAACGCTCTCTTGCTGGCCGCTCTCTCACTTGCGCGCTCTCCCACTTGCATTTGCGTTGGCGTTGCCAGCGCATACACATAATTTCATTAAAGGCAGGCGGTGTCGGTGTTGGGCTTGTAAATGAAAATTTACTACTGCCACCGTTTTGCGTGTTGTTTTGCGAGCGGGTAATTTTTTTTTTTTTTTGTGCAAAACACGCATGCATGCATACAAACATTTATGACATTTGGCACCTGCTTTCATGCACGTACCAACAAACAGTTGTACCTGTGTGTGTGTGCTTCGCATATCGAGTGTGACAAAATGCTTTGTGAAACAGGTGTTTGCTTGTAATCGTTTTGTCATTATCGATAAAGTTTTTTTAGCTTCTTACTGTGGCCTAATCCAATTAGGCTTTTGGCTAAATATTTCAAGCATTATTGTCAGCAGTGCGAGCTTAAAGAGATTTTTCCTTCCCGATTCTTAACCTCTATTAATCAGCCATGTGTCGGCTTAATCGTTTCAAGTGCATTTAGCACGTACTACTTAGTCGAATATTTTAACTATTCGGTTCTTCAAGATTACACTTCATTTCCGAAAGAACACAATGAAACCGTCTGTTACAACAAAAGGGTGCATGTAGTGGACTTCCAAGATTAAAAGAGCTATTGTAAAACGCCTTTAGCGGGACACATAACGTGTAGGTAGTTCCTTGAATCTAGGTAAAGCTCGTTGTAAAATTTGAATATTGTGCTTAATTTTGTAGATATGTATGTATGTGTATTGAATTTTTAGTTCTTTCAATTTCTACAGATATATTGTAAAATAGCTTAGGTCTAAATATTTAAAGAGTCCAGGATCCAGGGGTTGTGCTTAAGGTAATTAGAAAAACTGCATTATTTTGTTGTGTGTTGTAAGAAACTTTTGACACTCGACGGGTGCATGTTATTGTATCTGTTGTTACTATTCTTTCCAAGTATTTGCGACATTGTTTGTGTTCTAATAACACGCCATGCAGTTCGTGACTTTTGCCAGATTCTGATTGGGGGGCACCCCCTCCCTGTGCATTCTCAAGTATATTACGATGTTGCAGCCTAGACGGCCCAACAAGAAAGCTTACCACAACCCAACCACCCGCGCAAAGCCTGAACCAACGAACAGTCAACGAACTTTGCCAGAGCACCTCCCTCGTCCTGTGGGTGCACTCGTATGCGAGTCTGTGTTTGTTTTTAGTTGTGTTTTTGTGAATGAAATTTGTAATACGATGCTGTTGCTGATGTCGCTGCTGGCGGCTGCGTCTGCGTTTGCGGCCACTAGAAGCTGGGGTGTAGCCACTTTTCTTGTAGTTGTTGTTGTTCTCGTTAATGTTGTTTTGTTGCTGCACGCCCTCGTCAACGACTGCAGTTTATTGACTTGGCGCAGCAGCGTAAACATTTTGCCCGACTGCCCAGCCTACACTCAGAAAACGGGAGCTATACGCTAAAAAAAAACTTGTTCAAATACATAATCAACTTAATTCTCCATACAAACTGTTTATTTGCATATTGTTGAAATTTCTGTACAACAAGAAAAACTCTGTATCTTAAAGGTTATCCCTAATCTGCAACAGTCACGTTGTTTTTATTTCTATACTTCATTTATACTTCCTACCCGAATGCAGTCAACGCTATAGGAATATACATGATCGCATTTATGAGACGAATCGATCGTGCATATACATACATATGTACTTACTGGTGTGTCTGTGTCTATAGTACATGTCTGAAAGCCAATATTGTCCTATCCATACGTAGAACTAGTTTTTTAATAACCATGTATGCCCTCATTATTATTATAAATCTTCCATAGGAGCATAAGGCTGTACATTTCCCAGTTGGTTTTCTTTTCACATTGCAGTGTGACTCGGCCAGTGTGTGTGCCTACATACTTGTACATATTTTTAGCTTGTGCATAAAAATTTATGACCAATTATGCAGATTCCTATTTTGGTGCCACATCTGGCGCACACATTTTCTAACGTTGTTTTTACTAACTCGCCTCTCCCTCTGTCGCTTTCTTTCGTTTGTTCCCGCAGGCATCGCCGCACCATTTAAGGCACAACATTTGGGCAGCTCGACGTGCAACAAAAGCAGCAGCCGTCGGCCATGCATCGTTCACTGAAGCCGCACTCGCAAACGGCACAAGCTAAAAAGGTACAGCCGCCCACAATTCCTGGCGATCAGGCACCGCCTTCGCCGAGCCACCACTTGCCGCAAGCATCGCTACACACATCGCACTATCAGCAGCCGTTGATACCGCTCTACAGATTGAGCGGACCTTTGCGGCACCATCAACAGCAACTGCAACAGCAGCAGCAGCAGCAGCAACTGGACGATGGCATTTGCAGCATGAGCGGCAGCAGCATTGTCTCATCGCCCTCACTGGAGGAGGGCGGTTTCAATTTGCCACGCGAGACGAGCGTGGCATTACGGATTAAGGATGAGGCCAATAGTAGTGGCAGCAGTGTGATTGGCGCCACAGCGGCAGGCGTCGGCGGCGGCGTTGCAGGAACGCCAGGAGCGCACAAGGCAACGACAGGACAGGCGCCATTACCTAGTATTGTGCCATGTCCGCCGCCAGTTTTCTGTGCCACGCTACGCGAACCACTCACCCATAAGGCGGCTGTCTACTATCATCAGCAGCTGGCGCTGCAGGAAGATCAGGGCATAGATCTAACACAGTCGCCGGGACGCGATTCGCCAGGCTCTTCATCAGGCTCCGCTGGCTCCGGTTCGCGGCATTCCACCGCCAGCCTAGATTCAGGTCGCGCTTCATCATATCTAACGGGTGTTTCCTCTTCGGGTGCCTCCATCAGAGCGCCGCTCTCTTCACCCCGCTGCAGTTCCGTCAGCTCGTGCTCCATTGGCAGCGTGGATAGACAGCGCAACGATGAACTGATCATTGATTGGCTCATGGAAATGAAGCATGAGGAGTACGCCCAATTGTTCATTGCGGCTGGATACGATTTGCCAACTATAGCGCGCATGACGCCCGAGGATCTCACAGCCATAGGCATCAAGAATCCGCATCATCGGGAGCGCATCAAGCAGCGCATCGATAAGTTGCAAGTGCTCGACAATTTGCCGCATTTTGTGCCGGTAAGTAGCAGTTACTTGATTTATATTTATTTATACTTGTATAATGATAAAAGTTTTCATCCGCGTTAAGCCGTCTTTAAATGATAACATCTTATAATCTTGATTGATAAAATTCTTTAGTTCATGAATCGGTAGTAAATTAAATTTCCTCATCAATTCTTGGCTTGTTATACTTCTAGGTTACTTTAATTCTTTTACATACATATGTATACAGTTTTTATATTTGTGCAGATGTACAGCTGGATTAAGTAAGTTAGTAAGATATATAGTAGTTGATTAAAGATTCTTTACATGCAGTGCTATACGAGCATTTCAATCGTGCAACAGAATCATAGGCATGGTGTCACCGACTTATAAACATACTTACTTGTATATACTTTATAAACACAAGCACGTTCTACAAATAATCCATTCCTTAATAGTAATTACATATTTTCTACAAAAACTGTGAAATCAAATATTGACTAGCTTTTGATGCTTGCATAACAGGTTCAAGAGAGATGGAGTTGGATGGGGAGCTAGCGATTCTGTTATTCCTTTATTTTGTTGTTTTCTTAGACAATTAGTGGCAGGTTGAATCTGCTAATGCGGCACTACTCGTATCCAAAGTCGAGCTAATCAGGCACGCAACTCGTGATGTGTTGTCCACAAATATTTGCATATGACCGAACCGGCAACATTCCCACTTAGTCAGAGTTGTCGGCGAATTCGCTATATTGGCATAATTTGTCTTGCTCCCCTCCCCCTTCCCCACTCCGACTCCCAACCCCACCCCCGTCAGTCGCCATTCACAGTCGCAACCGCATTCGAATTGCGGCTTGTATTCTTTGTTTAGTTTTCAACTTATCTTTTCATTAAAAAGGCATTTGCCAACAGCGGCTGAAGAGTGTGAGAGAGAGGGAGGGGAAGAGAAAAACCTGTTTGCCTGCTCATAAAAGCGCCGTCAGCATTTTTGTTGTTAATGAAAGAATTTTATGGGACAGTGTGTATATGTTTTATTTAATATGCGCACATTAATTCCCATAAACAATTCATTACAAACACTTGGACAGCCAACAACAACAACACCAGCGACAAATGCCAAAGCAAATCAAAATGGTGAAACAAATACTACAACAACAACAACATCAACAGCATTCAAAGTGGTTGTAAACTGTAAAAACATGTGCAATTTGTGGGCCATGTCCAAAGGGGCGCTATCGGCGCCTTTTGTTGAAAATCAGACAACAACAACAAACACAATACCATCGGCATTACTAATTAAAGACGAACGAGTTGAACTAATTGTGAACCTTGGACTAATTGCACAGCAAATCTACATAGCTATCTAGATACATTCATCTATGCATGTCTAGAGATCAACTGACTAAGCGTAGATCGATCAAAAGTCGAGCATACAAGTTAGTATTTAAATGAGCCTGTTATTTAACTCTATTTATTTTATGTACAAAATTGAGGCTGTTATGGTTCAATATATATCATCCGAACACGTTTATCCCATTATCCCATTGACAGTCTCGTCCGTCACATTACTGGAACAGATTCATCCAGCAGAGTACTTAAATAATATGTAATATTGAGTGTTCAAATTTTTCTCCTTTGTCTTCTTAAAGATTACAGGTTACAAAAAATACTCGCACTCTGTGGCTGTGAGAAAACAGTATACAAGTATATATTTGGCACCATCGGCCTAATTTTTAGGGATTTTTTGGGCCGTAGAGTACCCAGTCCCAGCAGTCTATATTTTCTAGTGGGAGCTGTATTACAACGACATCAAATTATAACAACTTGACATCATTATTTCGGTTCATAAATAGTTGCCCAGCAAGTGGCCGGAAGGTGCCAGCTTAGATCGAATACATGTACGTATTCGAAGGATAAAAGAAAGCCTTACTCCAGTTCGTCTCAGATATTATAATAATATGCTGACACGGTAGATTCTAGATATAATTTCTGCTTGACCTTAACGGAAAGTAAACCCCTATGGCTGAGTTACCAGTGTTTTCGAATGAAAACAGCTTGACATCACTCTTTCGGATCGAAGTCAACTTAGCCTCTAAGATTCGTCAAACTCTATTGGTTTTTGGGAGTGGCCTGAAGTTACTGCCTAATTCGTGCGAGACAAATTTCGAATTACTTGCCGATCCGATCTGTTAGATCATTGTTTTCGAGGCATTATTGCTTTGGACAGCTTCAAACGTTGCAACATTTTGTTTGCCTTACCGTATCTACAATTTCAAAGTTCATTTTCTACACCTTTTGACTTTTTAAGCCTTGCATTTGCGGCCCCCGCACCCACCGTAGACAAGCCTGGTGTGTGTGTGTGTGTGTGTGTGTGTGTGCGTGTGTGTGTGTGGCACCCACCCACCAGCTAGCTGCCTACATATTCGTCTATAAACCAAGGTAGTGGGCTGCATTGGGCCTCTTAATGCCACGAATGCTTAGCAAATGCATGTGTTTTGAAAACCAAATAGCATTTATCGCATTTATCTCTCGAACCACATTCCTCACACACACACACTGACACAGGCACAGACACAGACACACACCTATACTTGAACATACTTACAGACATAAATAACTATTCACATGGCACGCTTAATTGCTCGTTTCAAATGATATCCCGCGGCCATTGTTGTATTATTTTTCCGACTTAACTGCCTTTTAAAATCGTTTAGGTCTCATTGACTGATCAGTACTATACGTACTATTAATATATGTACCAAATTTCTCGGTCGAAACTGAATGATTTCAAGCAGTTATGTTAGGTATGACCTCAGCCTTTGTTTTAGGTGTTTATGCGGTAATTTTTTTTCCCCTGCTCAGCTCAGAATTCAGCTTCTTTTTGACTGAAAACTGCGCTAAAATACAAGTACGTATGTATGTACATAAATATATATGTATATGTATATGTATAAATACATTCATTTGTATATTTTTACTGGCTGTGTAGAATTTCTCGTTTATTTGTGTAGAGTGGCGTGACTGTTTTTCGCAAGTTATAACTTTTTGCTCTAGAGTTACAAAAAGCAAATCATCGCTTATCGCTTATTTAAATGTTGTTTAACCTACGTGGCTATTTGTTGATCTGAGAACAACAGTATTGGGTGTGGTGCTTACCTTCTTACATCATTGGCAGCTCCAAATGAAAGTTTCTTCAAGAAAAATGCAAAAATGGTCGCTGCTCATTAGCCCTGAGCAGGCAGGCATCCACTTTTACGCTGCCATTCTGCAAAAAGATACATATAATATATACTTGTATGTATGTGTGTATGTATGTGTACAAATTTGTTTCTTTGGCTAAAAAACTGACTTTCTTTCACCATGCGGGGCATTTTTATCTGACGAAAACGGAAACAAAACGAAATAACTGAAAAGAAGAAAAGAGACATACGAGTATCTGCACAATCAGCTGCCAGTCAGAAAAAGTTATTAAACACCGCCGCCGATGTTGGCGTTGTTGACGTCTCTCCAATCTGTCGTGCTACATTTTACGCAGATACCACGAAAGTGCAACAACTACAACAAACACAAACACGAAATACTTAACATGGAAAAATTGGTAGAAAAAAATAAAGACAGAAACCGCAATCAAGCGAGCAACAACGACCTTGAGGGTCGAGGTGTTGTTGTTTTCAGCCGTTATTAGACACTCGAATGGTATTTAGTTTTCGGCCTCTGTCCGTCTGTCTGACGTACTCTGAAGTTAGCTTTATGTTGCCTGCTCTTGCTGCTGCTGCTGCTGTATTTGTTTTTGTTGTTGTCATTATTATTATTGCTGCTTCAGTACGCGTACAGTGTGTGTGTTGATTTGGTTTTCATTGCTTTGTGGCCGGCCTCTGCTTGTTGCTCAAAACGACAGTTTATTTCAAAACCAGTTTTCTCTCAAAATCAAGCCTGGCCTGGCAGCAGCGCTAATGATTTACCCTGCTGCTGCTGTTGTTGTTGTTGTTGTTGTTGTTCAAGTTGCTGCTGCTGCTGGAGTTGTGCGCTTTGGCTGTTTAGTGTCATACCATATGCTACCTGCTAATGGACTTCGAGGAAAAAACATACATATACACAGCAGTTAAATAAATATTTTCTCAAAAAATTTGTTCAAGAATATGCTGCCTGAAGCTGCCGATGCCCTACGCAACAGGCATCCTAGAATCGCAAAGACGTTTGTTTAGAAACAACAACTAAAATGCTCTGTCATTAGAGCTTGACAACCTCGTATAATTACCTGGCTGGTTCTGTGTGTTTCCATTTTAAAAATGGCCCTAATTAAACGCAAATCAACGTTTTATATATACAACAATATTTTTGTAGATTTATAGTTTTTATACAATTATTTCCAATATGCAATATCTTTTCATTGTTCCCATTTTTATATTTGATCTTCATAACTTCAATGAAAGGATCAGGTCGACAAAATAGATGTTATATGAAGTCTTGAATGGACTGCCTATGTAATTGGCTATAAATAGTATTTATTTATTAAATTGAATGATGAACACCGTCTATGAAATCTGTATACATATTATGTATCGCATATCAAAGATATAACAACGAACTACCAGCATCTCCATAGAGTTGAGTATTTTTAATTAAATAGAAATCAACAGCAATTTAGCCAAAGACCAGAGAGCAATAGCAACAGCTTCACAAATTATTAACACGTCTTACGAAAAATGCTCATGACGATGACGATTTTTGACTGTGCGTGTGGAGACTTTTAGCTGGCTGTCTGGTTTGCTGGCAAAGAGCTGGGGCCGGGGTCTTTGGGACCAGGGGCAGGGGCAGGGGCTGGGTGTGGATTCGGCTACCGTTTAAATGGCAGCAACGGCGAAGACGTATGTAGTTAGTTTTTTCCATCAGTTTGTGCTTTGACGCGATTTATGTCATATCTTATCAATTACAACTGATTAGAGCGTTGGAGACGAGGGCGCGAGCCCGTCAGACACAGCATGGAAGACAGACACTCGCACATACAAATGCACACAAGCCTGTCCCATATCAGCGCTTTGGTTGAACTAGTTCATGGACAATTTGTAGCATAAGTGCCCTCTTCTGATGGGGTTGGCATTAATCAGAAGCGATTAGCTACACATAGCAATACGTCTATGGAAAAAATAAAGCTGGAATCGACAGAAAACGCACAGCCATTCATTGCGATCTCTGTTCTATTTGCTCCATTTGCAGGGTTCCATTGAGGAGTGGCTGCAGCTGTTGAGACTCGAGGAGTACATCCAACCGCTGCTGGAGCAGAACTACAAGACGGTGCGTGACGTAACCCAAGTTACTTGGGAGGATCTCGAAGACATTGGCATTGTGAAGCTGGGCCATCAAAAGAAAATACTGCTGGCCATCAAACGAGTGAAGGATATCATAAGCGGCAAGTGGAATCCGGGCGGTGCTAATGCCTACCAACAGCAGGTAATTACTTTATGAATATTCTACTCAAATAAAACCCGGTTTTAAAAAGACAGTAAAGCTGTAGTCGCACAAGCAAATCGTGTGCAATAATAAAGTTATATACACAACTGGTGTGAGGTTTACTTTTCATGACCCATATTTGAGAAACTTGTGTACAAATTATTTGCCTGTCTGACCGTGGCTTAATGGCTATTTCTTTCCTATTGAAATGATGTTCTAGTCTAAATGTTTATATACTTAAATGCATAACCATGTATGTAATAATTGTGCGGACTAGGCACGAGTATGATTTATTTGAATATTACTTTGCTTTTTCCTAAACATGAACGCGATACAGCGTGCAAATTTTGTATTCTTTAGATTACAACTTTTTGAGCTAAAATTAAAAAAAAAATCTTCAATAACAATAATTTCCAGTTCCTTTTTTTCTTCCATTAACCAACAGTTTTTATGTTCGTATTCCCTCATCATTGCATTAGCAACGAAATACATCTAATGAGTTTTAAGCAATTTGGTTTTGTTATTTGAAATCATCATTGATCGCGTAATTGCCATTTTTTGACCCAATTTTGATTTAAGTTTCCATTTACATATTTGCATAATTTATATAATTTGTTGTATTTGTTTTTTATTTTGTTTTTTGCACTTTGTTTCGTTTCATAATTTCCTTTGACATCCGCTTGAAAACAAAAACAAAAAAAAAAACACGAAATAAACAAGGAATATCAACGCAAGCCGTGGCAATTCAATGTGCCTGTGCCGAGCACGCCATCATATGTGCCAACGACACGTGTCTCCTGGGATGACACGAAAATCTATGCCACCAGTAATGGAGGCAACTGCAACAACAACAACAACAACAGCCACAGCCACAACGGGCACCTGAGCAATGGTAATGGGGATGCCTACTATTGTACGGGCAGCAATCATGAGTGCTGTGCCGGCAACGATGTGGTGCTCATTAAGGTGAGAGAGCGTGCCAAGAACGAGGCTTAACGAGCAATGGCTGTGGCACATGGGGGCTTGTGTGCTTTGTGGGCGGTTGAGTGGGCGACAAATGTCAGAGGTGACAAGCAGTGCTGACCTTGAACTTTAAGTGCATGCAACTAGCATTCGCAATCGCAATCGCACTCGCACTCGCTCACTTATTCAGTGATTCACTCATGTTTCTCGTTTCAGGTGCGTCAACCACGTGGCAAGAGCCTCGAATCGCTCGAGGACATACACGACAACAGCACGCGCAGCCATCTGACCTTTAGTCATTACACGACCACAGACTATGGCCACTTCGGGCCACCGGCCACGGCAGCAGCAGCTGCTATGGCAGCGGCCACGTTGCAACAACAGCAACAGCAGCAACATCATCTCTTGCAGCAACAGCAGCAGCAGGCGGCGGCAGCTCGACTGCTGGGCAGCAATGCGGCCGCTGCTGCAATGGCTTGGCGGCGTTCCTATGATGATGGCGACATCACACCCACCAATGAGGCCACTCGCGAGCTGCTCTACGAGGAGGGGGGCGGCACTTTGCCACGGCAACAACGTGGCATACTGCAGAGAGCCGTGTTGAACACAATGCCCCCCTTGGAGCATCACCACTACATGAATGCGGCGGCAGCGGCCGAATATGTGACAGCAGGAGCAGGAGGAGCAGACGGCACAGCCGTAAGTCAAACATACCAGAACCTTTACACAAGTGTTGCCAAAACGCAAAGGGAAGCTGCCCAGTCTTGGTCCCTGTTATAATTTCTTCTTATACTATCCTCATCAAAATAATTTCTTCTGATTACGAATGAATTCTCCATTTCCAAGCAATTGTTCTCTAAAGTGTAAAGAGGCAGAAGTATAATTCTTGTATGACTGAGAACCCAGAAACAATAAATAGGGGGCTTTCTTTAATTTCTTCAAAACATATTTCACACATTTCTATCCAACGGCTTGCGGATCGGCACATCTCAGCCGTCTCTTGCCAGAAATCTTTTCGATAACAGCGAGCATCACATACGTCTCAAAAGACTCCACCCGCTAAACCCTCCTCTCCGGATCAACTAGAGTTCCCAAATAACTTTTCATTTTAATCTTTGAAGCCCCAAGTTATATTATAAAAATTATTTAATCTTGTCTTTTGTAAAATGCCACTATTAAAGGTACATGAACTGGTTTAGGAATTGCACTTTTAGGGCAGGGCCTAAATAAAAGAACAAATCTGGGGCTTTCAGCTCAAGTGTACCGCTTCCAGTACTTTTGATGGAAAGATATTTTCAAATGTCATCTCAACTTTAACGATTGTCTATCTTCATCGTTTTGGCAACATTTAATTTTTATGATGATAACATTTAATTAAAAGCACTTCTCTTGCTGTTGCAGGCCTATCTAAGTGGCAGTCCTCTGACGGGCAAGAAGATAGCACCGGAGCCACCGCGTCGTCATTGCAGCATACGCAACTCCCGCACGTTGAGCGGCGATGGAGGCGCCGTTGCCACACAGCAGCAGCAACAACAACAGCAGCAGCAGCAGCAGCAGCAATCAGTGGCAGGATCCTCGAATGCACAGGCAACACACATGTTTTACGGCCACACCACCCAGCATTGGCAGCAGCAACCACAGGGAGCTGGCCAGCAGCAGCAACAGCAGCAGCCCATTTATGCCAACTATGCGACCATACAGCAGACAACGGCGGAAATACACTGCGAGAAGTATCATGACAATAAGTCGAATTCCAGTATCGATAGCATAGACACGATACCGTTTGCCAATGAGAACACTGGGACGATCAAGCAGCGTCTGCTCAACCGTCAGGAGCTGTCGGGCACCGGATCGCCCGGTGGCGGCAGCAACGCTCATCATATGCCCAACAGCAGCACCCATCTGCATTCCTCCAGCTCCAGTTCCAGCTCGTCCTCGACGAACACCATCGCCAACATAGCGCACTCATTTCATTCGCTGAAATCTTCCAGTTCGCTGCACGATGCGACGCTGGCGCGGAGCGATAGCATGGGCAGCACGGCCAGCGGGGGCAGTGCGCTGCACTTGCGGTCGCCCACCTTGGAGGCGGCCGGTGTCGAGATCGGTACCGCTGTTGTGGGCACACCAGAGGCGCCCGTTGCTGCTGCGACTGCAGCAACATCGACGGCTGTGCCGCCCAAGGTGTCGGTTAATGTGCTCAACGATATTGGGAATATGCTGGCCAATCTCACCGACGAACTGGATGCCATGCTCGAGGAGGAGAAGCGTGTGGGCCTCAACATAGATAGTGAGTAGGAGGGATCTGAGCGATTCCGTTCCGTATGTCCCACCAACAACAACAGCAACAACAACAAAAACCAGCAAGTTTCCTTACGATTAACAGCAATCCTGCAAAGCTTCGAGCTCCCAACAAACAAAACAAAAAAACACAAGATTATCAACAACATCAACAACAACAACAATGTAGTGTAGCTGAATTTTTTGGTAGTATTGTAAGTTGTTAGTTGCTGCTGCCTGCTACCCCCTTTGGTTTACACTTCATTTCTGATTTGTTTACCATAATTGTATTCTATTTTGGTACCTACTTTAATTTTTTAAATTGTTAGTTTTACATAATTGTATATGTATTGATTACGCATTTGAGAATGTTTTGTACGTTAGCCCTGCATATTAGTTTTAAAGCATATCCTGCTAATGTGGCTGCAGGCCCAGCATAATTTAAAGTAAGCGTTATGTAACTGATCTGAATACTTTGCCAATTGCATGCTTAATTACTACAGAGAGCTATAAAATCGCACACTAGATTTGTGTTTCTTCCACAATTCAACAAATATTTCATTTAAACCGAAAGCGCACGAAGCATTTTTCTTCCGAATTCCAAAAACTAATTATCCTTTGGTTTTTTTGTAATCTACAGTCAGGTTCATTTCATTAATTTCAGAATCATATCAGCCAGAAAGTTCTTATGGAAATTTTTAAATAAACATGACTGTCTGCACATTCAACGAACAGAGCAGCAGAGGTTTTGGAAATCGGAACAGACTTGCTTTATTTTTATTCAGTTTTTAAAAAATCAAAGTATAAGTATTGTTGCATACAATTATTTTGCATTGCACTCGGCCTCATGCACATTTTAGCTCGGTCCTTCGTTTCCATGCATTGTGTAAAAAATAAAACTTAAAAAAATAAATAAAAACTACAACAGAAAAGCTTTCGAAAATGTATACTTTTGTACTTTCCCTATGAATGTTAACAAATAAAACCGAAAACAAAATGAATAACCAAGAATTATGGACAAAAATATATATGTATGTGCAAACTTTGCATAGTTAAAAATATATAGCATAAATATATATATATATATGTATATATATATATATATTTAAATATAAATAAACATTTAAACGAAACGAAAAATGCAATTCATATAGCAAGTATTCGGTGGTATAACTTAGCCACAAGGCACACACACAGAACACAGAAACGCAAATGTAACAACAACGGCAACAAAATATACTACTTAGCCAATTTTCTACAAAGAAGAGGAACTATAACTGCATTTAAAATACTATAATTTCTTCTGTTTTTATATTTTTGATCACAAATATGTTTTACAGCAGAAATACTTGATTTGTTGCAATCTTGAAATCAAACTACGCGCAATTTTTGAGCATAATTTTAATTCCATAATATAAACAAGGATTGGGAACTACTGACACTTGTGTTTTGATATATTTTAAATATATACGAAAATACAATATGCAGACAAGAGCAAGAAAATCTATATACTATAAATGAATGTATAATTAAGTGTTATTCCATACAAACTAAAGCGCATCATACTTATAATGAAATGAAATTTACATTAGATCTACATACGATTACATACATATGTTAGGCCGTAAATGGAAAGAGAAATCATTATAAACATAAATAATACATATGTATAGTATATGTATAATATATATACGGGCATCTATGCTAAATAAACGTGTAGAATTTCGTGGTACATAATTGAATTTGAATTGCCTTTCTTTATAATTACAAGTATATTATTTACTTAAATACAAATATATAGTGAATGGACATTACCTGTGAATGGGAGTAGTACGTGCACACAGAACGCCTTTGTACGCAATTGTTTTGTGTCGTATTGTTTTAGTTAAGCATACATATTATTTTATAAAACCAAACAAAACAGAACAGAACTAGCGCAACAATATTTTGTATGTGGTCGGCGCACATTGTCATTAGTAATTGAAATTGGAATATCCATATGAAAAGCAAACAAATCAAGAAAATGTATAGCACATATTGGGCAAAATAATGAGAAGAACAAATAAAGTGAACATTTCATAGTAAATCAACGTGTATATTATTTTAGGGAACATCTGTTAATTGCGGTTACAATAATTCTTTTCAAAAAGAAGAGAATTTATATTATTTACTACAATATCTAGATAATGAAGATGCTTCAAGTAACCATGTTGCCATAAAATTTGATATAATAATAACACCTGAATGTACGACTGCCCTCAACAACTTTATCCCATCGTTTGCTATTATATTGTATCTAAAGACGTTTCGCAAGCATGTGTCACCAAATCCAAGAGGAGAGGAAATCCCATAAATCGTGAGCTCGGTCCCGGGAAGTACGGATAATCTAACCAATTTCATCTTAGTTAGTCCATAAAATGGTGAAAGCGAAAAAACTAATATTTTAACTAATCTCCAGCTTTTGATTAGCTGTACAGATCGACATGTGAAATGACTTAAAAGCGCGCATCCAGAACGTCTTCAGATTAAAAATAATTGTTTAGTATATTGTTTATTAAGGAACGGAGATATCTCGCATCGTATCGATCGAATTCGTTTTTTTTAAACATTACAATGTTGTTTGTCTTTCGACATTGGGTTGATTTTCAAAAATTGGATATGTTTAATTGATAATAAGCTATTTCCGTATTCCAGTCCGTCTGTTGGTCTGTTGTTTGAGATGCACAGGTCCTATATTCAGCAAACAGGATATATTCCAAAAGAAGATCGAAACTAGAAATAAAGAAAGTCTAACAACTGTCAATCTTACATTCATCAATTTATATAGTTTCAAAAATTTGTTTTAATTTATATTTCTATTTCATATAAATTCAGCATTTAAATTAAATTCCCCACAGGTTTTGTTTAACACAATTAGTCAATAGGTGGAGCTTACAAAAATTAATGCCGTTTGGAAAATGAACAGCTGGCAACGCTGTGGCGTTATATGGGATTTATGATAGCAGCTACGCGGGTCTGTAAAGTATCGCAGATGAGGAAATCCAGAATTAAGCATCAATCGATAGTTTTGCAGTGTCCGATACACTCAAATCTCTTCCATCCCTGGTTCAGTCTGTCATTCATTCGCACCGCACGCAGACGGGGACGCGCGAGTAGGCGTTGTAGTTGTAGCGTTTTAATGCAGATATAGCCACCAAAACACAGTATATACAGAGAAAAGTCGAACAAACGAGCAGTGCGCTTCGTACACCTATACATAAATACACACACATACATATATTTTAGGTGTAATTTTGTCTAATTTATGCGTGTGATCGAGCTGTGCATTCTAAAAAATGATTTGTTGCAAACAAAATTGGCAGTGAAACAACACAATTTACATAATATTAGCAGAAATCAAAACAAACACGCACATACACACACACAAATATAGTGAGTGCAAAATTCAATTTACGTAAAAAAAAAGCTGAAACAAAAACAACAAAACAATATGCAAGTGAAAATGCAAATGGAAACTAATTGACAAACACAGAGCGCAGGCAGCAAACAAAAGTGAAAATAGTATATTGAGCTGACGCTGTTGTCGGTCTCAGCCAATCCCTCGCTCCCCTACCTGTCCCAACAAGCGTTGTAGTTGCTGGTTAATTGAATTTTGCGATCGAATTTTGTGCAAAATGTCGTCGACAGCGACTGAAGATAGCGAGCTGGACCCGCAAATTCAGGTAAGACGAAGTCCAATGGTCTCTCAAGTGCACGTGTTGTGCATATATTTAATAGTACCTCCGCCCCACTCCCCACCATCGACGGGTGTCCGTGTCGGGCCGTGCCAACCGCCTATAACGCTGGCGTCGCAGTCCAAAGCTGCAGTCGCTGCTGGCAGTGCCTTGGCACGTTCGTTGTTGTTGTTGTTGCTAAAATTAGTTGCTTAGCGTTATTATGAAGTTGTTGTTTTTCCCTCCCAATCTCTCTTCACCCTCCTTCTTTCACTGTCGTGCGTGTTTAATTAGTTTGTTTTTTTTTTTGTTGTTGTAAGGGGAACATTGCAGTTTCATGGGAAACACCGCTGGCGTTTTACCATATTCGCATTTTCCCATCCCCCACCCCATTTGCTTGCAATTGTAAATTTGTTACGCTTTGTTGCGCGCTGTTTATATGCTACAAAATAATTCAGTTTTCAATTAAACAAAGTGTGCACTTCCTTTCCTCTGTCCACTTTGGCTTAAAAGGAAGTGCAACAGCGATTCATTACAACTGCGCATAAATATCAGACACACAGCAAAACAGACACTTGACACAGCTGCGTATGGGTCCAATTCCATTGTCCTTGCGCTTCTGACGTACTATTCACGCACACAGGCGCACAACTACAGCCTCAATGGCCGTGTCCTTGTCAACTGTTTCGTTTCGCTTTGTCTTCCAAGTAATTGGGTTTTCTGCCTGCGCAATTTCAAAACGTTACTTAAATATTTCGGCAATGCGAAAAATATTTATAGGAGAGGTGTGCGCGATTCGTTCGTGATTGTGTGAGTTGTACTACAAAGGGACCAGCATTCGGCATTTCTGAAGAATTTTCGTTGAATAGATTCGTTTATTATCGTTTAAATTTTTGTTGGAGAACAGAATATAGACTCAAGTTTAAAATAGAATTTAAAGTTCTTCTACTTTAAATTTTTAAGAATAATTTATAAATAAATTTGACTTTTTTCTGCCACCAAACGTTATAAAATTTTTAACATAGTCTTGTATTAATTTAGCGAAATAAAGAGCTACAAATAAATTATTTGATTGTATTATTAAACATTATAAACATGTTGCATTTCCCCAGGTTTTTAACATTATTAGAAATAACACAATATGAACGAAACATTAATTATTTGCATAGCGTTTTTCTTATTCTGAAACAGAACTGAAATCAATAGTTCAATTCTTTTAGTCCATACCGCAATATTAAAGCAAGCTTGTGTTTCAAGCTTTCCTTTTAATCAATAGGAGTTTATGACCTGTTCTATAAACATACTACTATACCATAACCACTAGAATGCAAGATATTCTGAATGCTCGTGCATATTTTACCACAAGCACATCTCTGCTATATGTTATGGGTGTGGATATAGCACATACATACAAATATATTTATTCGACGCAGTTGAACTCAGTGCTAAGTGCAGCTTAGATTTACGTCAGCCGTCTCTTTCGCTCTCACATCACACACCCATGCCGAGAGGTATGCATAAAATTAATCAATGGAAATACCAAAGCGCACACGCAAAACAAACAATTAAGCAAGCGGGCAAATTTGTTTCTTCTATGTATTTTGTAGCTGTAGGGAAAAGAAACAAAGCAAAGTACACTGAGTGCGCACTTTGAATAAATTCGTTAATTAATCAAGATTTATTTTGTACATTAGTTGCTCTACAACTCGTTGAACGCAATTTGGTTAGCTTCTAGAAGAGAATGCAACTTTCACTATGCGATGATAGATCTAAATAGTATTTATTTGTTCAGAGAAGAAGCAAAGCAAAGTGGTTCGATCGTTGTAGTTTGGTTAATTTATTAAAGAAAATGTAACTGCAATTATGTGATGTTATAACTAGAAAGTTGTATTACATTTCCAAACATATTTTAAATTAAGCCTTCTTCTGACAAAATAAAAATGTCAATATAAATACACTACTTGCACACGATGTCGAATAGAAGGCCCCACACGCTCTTCTTATCCTTTACTCAACCGACAAGCACTGTAATAAAAATCAAATAAATTATAGCTGATCCTTTTCAAAATAATAGGCAGAAAATCATGCATACATAGCTAATTATGGCAGTATTCTCCTTACTATATATTTTGAGTTGATATTCTGCCACCAGACCCTCTCAAAGCCCTTCTATACTTGTAGTATGCGTGAAGAAGCAACAAACTCGATGTATGTATGTATATTTTTAGATATTTTTAGCCAACTGGGAGACCAAGAAATACTCAAAAACACCATCAGCATTTATTAATTGATGTTACCCAGCACATGTGACTTTATTGAAAAGCCTATAAATAAAATTCGGTGTGGGAAAATGTTCGATAAAGACACACAACACACAAGTGCTACAAAAATTTCAATTTCTGAACAAAGCACGCCGAATAAAGCCCAAAAATTGTTCGTCTATTGAGGTCTTGCTAATAACGTAACATGTGTAGGAAGGAAGCCGCAAAATAAAGGCCGAAAACAGCCAAGAAAACATTCGCAAAATATTTATATACACATGTCTCTACATATATACTACAAAACCATGTGTATTGTACATGCACATATGTATAGGCAAATAAACCGGTTAAGCAGTTGTGTATATATGTGTACATGTCAAAAAAATAAAAACACAAACTGGCTTATAATTCAACAATCAAATGCGCATCAAATGCTTCACATGTATTTTGTGTAGACCCCTCAACTTCCTCTCCCGCCAATTGACGTACCCAGTTATTAATTAAAATATATAGAGGACTCAGGCCTGTGTTTATGTATACTATGTGACAAGACCAAGATATCAAGTCCCTTTAATCATAATCAGTAAGATGAAACGCTGTAGCTACAGCCATATACGCCTCTCTGCCCACTTTTATGAATTTCGCAAATGATTATTGCAAATGTAGCTCTCAAATACAATCAACATTGATGGTTCATTGGTTTTTATATGCACACCCATATGCTAACTTTTTGCCAGTATATTACGATACATTTTTAAATTCTACTTTGTACCTGGGCAGGTAAAAACATATTACAGTTTGTCTATCTTTGCATTCACCAGCACGTCTGAGTTGCAAATTGTACCCCAGCTGAAGCTGCTTTATAGGTGTTTATAGTATTGCATTTTTGTATAATATTTGATGATTATTTATTTTATTTATTTTTAAAAAATACCTTCTATATTATATAAAATCTACATACGAGCAGTAATATTTGACGATAGCAACCTCAAATCTTCCGTATTTAGTTTGAAAATCGACTTTTGGTATTTTGGCCAATTTTCGTTACTTTGTGCGACTGTTTGTCCGTCTGAACTCCGGCATTTGGAAATGTATTGGACCTAGCGACTCTAAACTTTATTCGTTTGTCCATCCAACATTTTCAAATACGAAGTTTATAGATTTACCTAATTTTGTAGTATTTGTCTACAAATTTGATACTTGCAACAAGATTCATTTATGCGTTAATTTCTTTGTTAGATTTCACAGTAACTTGAAGACATCCAATAAAAGCATTACCAAGAATGTCAAGTTGTGCACATATTCTTTAGTTATTCTATTCAGGGTATTTAATAGTTGGGTAATCACTTAAGGTTTTTGTGACATTGCCGCCACTATCTACGCGTAGTGTTTATCAATTAAATTTGTGCAAATTCAGGCGCGTGCAGCTCTATTCTCTCTCTCTCTCTCTCTCTCTCTCTCTGTCTCTGTGTCTCTTTCTATCGGGCCGACGTCCACCCATTGTGCTATCAATGTAGTCATTGATAAAACTTTAGACTCAAGTGCTTGTGTGGGTGGCAGTGGAAGTGGAGGAGATACTCAGACTATCTCTGCTCGTTGGACAATGACGTCTGAGCAGTACTTGGAAATGCGCCACGAAATAAACGACGTCTGTCACTGTTTAAATAAAACAAGTGTTTTCGCTTTGGTGCCGCTTCAGTTTATTTTCGTGTATATACATACGACTATTTGTTTAATTTTATTTTATTTATAAACAAAGGCAGCCCACACGTATAAAGTCGAATCATTTGTGGGGAGGACAGTAAAACTTTCTTCGTCAATCCGACAATTGCTTACTTGGGAAATTTTTTTTTTTTTTTGGCAATTTGTTACCTGTGGTGTTTCGATAAGATTGGAACAATTGTATAATTTTGATGGCTTTAATCAACCTCCGCTACTAATTTGGCAATGGAATTTTGCTTCACTGACCCACTATATCTGAATAGCATTCGAATAAAATGTCTACGATGACCATAAAGAAAACTTTCCATTTAAAATTATGCACACCCCTCTTATGCTAATGACTAATAAAATGAGCCATATTTGTAGGCAAGGTGGGAAGCTAAGCGTCAAATTGAAGAGCACGACAAAATTAAATGATTCACAAGCGTATCGTGACCAACATACAACTACATACACAAACTAATTTCTTTGTTATCACAGTGACGGAATGTGCCAAAAATGCGTCATAAGAATTCTCGAACAATTGTGCTAAGGTGTCGCTAATCTAATATTGGAAACTTCATTGAAACTACTATAATTGTATAAAATGGAAAATTTAATTAAGTTATACAAATTGTGTAATGCAGTTAAGCATTTTAGTTTAATCTGCCTGTTTTGTTAGGCACAGACTGACAGACCTTATTGCAGTCAATAATTTATGGAGGCCATAACTTGTCAGCTAAATTCAAATCAACGCTAGAACGTACGCAAAACAACATACTTAGAAAATGATAAAAAAAAGAAACATTTTCCAAAAATAAAATCGAAAAAAGTATCACTTGGCAGCGGTGGGATTCGAACCCACGCCTCCGAGGAGACTGGTGCCTTAAACCAGCGCCTTAGACCGCTCGGCCACGCTACCACATGGCGAGCGAGCGCCTAATAAGAAAGTATTTCAAGTGCGGCATGGTTCTGAGCAATTAAATGCTGGGTATAAGGTATATATAGTATCTGACGATCAGCTGCTGACTTTTTGCTATTTCGAGCTGCATTTTATTTTAAGCAAACAAACTCACACTTAGAGCTGACAATGCCATCAAAAATGGGTTAAAAAGACTATAATTTAATTTAACAATCTTTTTGAAGGCACACTCTAGTCACGCTTGGATTTGACAGACCCGTAGAATTGTCATTCTCTCTGCTATTATCAGTCACGGCTGCCTTTGTTCGGCGATGTGACGCAGTTGCTGAAAGTCTAGAGATTTTTTTTTGTTTCCATTTGTTGACTTTTTGTAAGCATGCTGGCTTTGTCGCCGCCGGGACTGTCTGTCGCAGCCATCAATGATGCATAATTGAGGAGGAAAATTGTTGTATTGTACTTGTATTGATTCGGCGGCAGTTAAGGCACATCGTTCGCATTTGTTGTTTGTGTAAGCTATTGGTTCGATTTGCCTAATGAATTCACTTGAATTTGTTTGTATACTGCTTCAGGAAATGCCCAACATTTTATCAATGCAAATGGGTTTTGTATTTGCCAATATCGGCGAATACAAGTAGTTGCTGCAAAAGTTTGAAATCGTAGCAGTGTGTGCTTGCCTCCGAATGGCACTTTTTATTTGCAATTTCCGCTTTTGCAATTCCCTCGTAAAATATAGTATGTAGCTGTTTTCTAGATTTATGAACAGCTAAAATCTTTCTGCTCTTATCTCTAATATTTCACGGGCTTTTATACCATACGTTCTAATATACAATCTTATCAGTCAAGCGTTCCTTAACCTGTTGCAAAAATGTCGGTCGCTCAAATATCAAATATTTACGTTTTTCTTTAAAAGTACACGAAATTTGCGTTTGTTTGACACACATTCTTACATAGAGATACCAATTGATAACATCTGTTTTGATAAACAATTGTTAGGGGTTTAAGTTTTATTTTTGGTTCTAATACATTCATAAATGTAAATACATCTTGTATGTATTATTTATGCGACTTGGAATGCATTCCTTCGATTCTTTTCATTATGTATGTACATATTTTAGTTTCTAATATACAATCTAATATAATTATCGAATTTCAGAATTCAAACTCAGACTTATTGATCATTTGTAATCTAATTTTCCTAAAATAATGCTTCAATGCTTTTTTATGCCCTCTTATATTTATTTGTTTAACGCTCTTACATAAGATTAATGCCGTTGCTGCTGCGCCTTGTTGACATAACTCTTAAACACTGCTGTGGGTCTCAAGTTGAGCCAATTAAAATTTTTGCGGTCAATTGCATTTTTGTCAGCCTGTGTTGGTTTAGTTGGCTTGGCGTCGCTCACGCATCACGGTTTTAGTTTTGTTATTATTTTATTTTTTATGTAACACGCTGCTTTGAACCTTACACTCGTCGAACAACTTTCTCAGCAGAGGCAGCAACAGCAACAACAATGGAAACACTTGTGCTAGATTAGTTTTAGCAACAACGCTCATTTAAGTTAGCTCAAGTAACTTTCTCATGCCACCTACCATTTACCTGTCCTCAAATTTGTTGTCACAGTTTCGCCATTCGTGACGCAAGTCTCTAAAAGTTGAATGTCCTTTTTGCCTTGAGTGAGTGTACATTGTTACGCAAATTGTCAAACTAATCTATGGGTAAGGTTTCCATTACGTCTCCCGTTTCCTTATGCAAATGTTTACGCAACGAAGGAATGGTGGGATATGCCCGTGGTTGTGTGCCCTCCCCATGTAGGTCATCGTAGGCTACGCCAAAGTGTCACGCCACCAAGTGCTTATACTTATGCTGGAAGCTTCCCTACGCTAGGGAAGGGCAACAAGGTTCGACGCCAATGTGGAACATGCGGAATCAATGTTAGTTTGGATGAGAGAATCGAAACTATTTAAATAGGACGAGTTCTATTTTCATTTAATAATACGAACATTAATTATAGTGTTGCAAAATGTCCTTTGGAATATGCCAGTAATCGAATGTAATCACAGTGACTATGGTACCTCTTCTTCAAACAGTCATACAGTCATACAAATTTGTTGAATTACACAAACATTTTACAATTCAATTGACTTGTCTGCCACGCCTACTTCGCACAAAACAAGTAAATGATAATAATGATAATAAAATTGAAAACTTTACAATATATTGTACTAAAATCCAAATTGAATTCTATTCTAAAATATAGTGTTCTTCGAATTTGAATGGTTGTAAAAACAATTTGCATGTCTGACCTTAGCTTTAGTTATGTGCGCGGCAGCAGTAGTCGAATATGAAGCCGTTAATACATGTTTAATAGGTATTACCCGGCTAAATAATGCTTGCCATATTAAATTTCTTATTGTTTACTCTCACTCTTACCCACTTATGTACATGCATGCCCTTCCCTTCACACAAACGTCATCATTAACTTGATTGTCTCTACTCGTCTGTGCCTCCCCAAACAAGTATACGTCATGTTGTCCAGCCAACTGGCGCGCCTTCTTTCAGTTGATGTGTAACCTTTGGCATTTGATTCTCCCTTCGCATCTTTGACAACACACCTTTAACTTCTTGAATGCAAAACAAAAGCAAAAGCGGATCGCGTGTTATGCCAGCATTTCGCAGTTTCTTGCCCCATCCAAGTGATTTTGACCCCATTTAGAAGCTTCAACATTTAACAATTGGCTTGTACTCGTGCTTGTATTTGTCGTGTGAGCTATTTAATCAATATTGTGATGAAATTCAGTGAGCTGCTATGGCATTTAACATTATTTGATTTACTTGCACTCTCTGTTTCTTTGTGCAAAAGCTTAAAAGCTTGAAGATGGTGTTTCATATAGTTTTGTTATTTGTAACTAATAGAGGGTAGTTGTAAAGAGCTTCTATGCATACGAGTGTATCGATACATATTTTATCACACTGATTATTTTTGTACGGAATTATAATTATGTTTAGACATGCAGCTAGGAAGACAATCGGTTGGTTTGAGAGACTATGTTGCTCCTAGAGCTGAGAGGAAATTTAAATGTATCTGGCTATACAATAAACGGATTGGTTGATTGGTTGACGCATTCGGCTAGAAAGTGCATTCGTTTGCAGGCAAATATTTGTGCTCTCCAAACACAGCTGGCTGGCAAATAATTGAAATTTAAATATTAACAATTCCGTTTTATACAATTGCATTGCATTGTTGTACATTTTTAATGACTGCTCGCTAGTCATGCCTTGAGAAATGCGTCATAAAGCGCTTTTTGCACACAAAGAGGAACGAACTTCAGAAAAGTTGTTAAATGAAGAACTTATAGATCGCACATTTTGCAATTAGTCTCCTCCTAACATAACTTTTCAATGAATATACGTCAGCACAACAAATGCCACTTTGCAATTCAATTCATCCTTTGTGGCAAGTTTTGTTTATAATTGCTGCAGTTTTTGCGCGTGTTTGCAGCAAAGTGAAAAACCAAAAGGGAAAACTTTTAATTAATCACATTGGCGAGGCGCATTGGCCTTTGAGTGGTTACATCGTTGACTGCCTACTTGTAGCCTCTGTGCCACAAACTGATTCCTGGAAAGTTCAAAGCCATGTTGTTTGTTGCAGGGCACTTAAGTAACAAAAACAACTGAAACATGACAAACAAACTGGTTTCAGGGGCCAGCCAAAGGCAACAATGGATGGTGGAAACCGGTCCCTGGTTCGCACTTGGCTCTGAATCTGAATCTGACTCTGGCTCTGTTGTCTGTTGAAATCAATCAACTGAGTCTGTATTGTTGTCCGCCCTGCGTTAACGACCAGCCCAGATGCTAATGTTTATACTCGTATATATGTATATACATATGTGTATATGATAGCAATGTAGAGAAATGTCCAATTTTAAGGCGGATATCTGGGACAAGCATAAAAGCTGCAATAAAAACGCACGAAAAACAGACCAAAAGTTATAATTAAAACCTGTTTTGTTGCTCTCTTCTGTTTAAGTGGTCGCCACACACGCCATGTGTGTGTGTGTACGAGTGTGTATGTAAATGTATGCAGGCGGCAACCACCGAAACCTAAAACTGTAACCGCTTCGAGTTCAGCGATCCATGACAATGGACAGCCATCCACATCCACATGCACATGCATAGGAAGTTCGTTAACATTTGTGAAGCAACGTACTTGCTATTTAACAGCGCACTGTTATGGTTCTGTTAAGCTTAAGTGTGAGTGCTGGCTGCGATGTTAGTGTCCCTCACAGTGGCGGTGCTCGTTGAGCGACTGTCCGCTTGGCGCGCTGGGTTTTGATGCGGTGCTGTGGTTCGTATACCACCAGTAACTACGCATCAATATATAGTACAGAAGGGAAGTGTAGAGTTTTTAGGGTAGTAGGAGGTGTATAGAGTAGTAGTGATTTTACCGGACTGTTAAAAATGTTAGAGTATAGTTAGTAGTTAGTAAAAAAAAGTGTGTTTTTCTCTCTCGTCCCTTCTATTATTTCGATGTTTGTTTGTTTCTGCATGCACGATGAGGCCCCCTAGGTGGATTGACTTTGAATTCGCTGTTCAAAAAGCAAATTCATGTTTCACATTTGGGGCTAGAGCAAGTTGATTCTGTAACTCCACGGAGATGACGCGACTGATGTGTCCTATATCCATCTAGCGTTTACGCTTCACTAACCATGAATTAACATAACAAAATTAGTCTATTCCAATTTTTTCATTAATTTCAAGCATTTGTATTGTAACTTGCTTTATGCAGAATCTAGGAGTTAAAAGTTAAGTTAATATTTAAAATGATTTTGATAATAGTTCAATATTCTTTGCAGTATTATAGTTGTTTGTAGCAATTTCAAAGTTCCCTAATCAGTAATAAATCCGTTTTATATATTGATAAAAAACTAATGGAACACTTTTGAAACAACACTTTTTTAAGATTGTTAATTTTTGTACCTCCTCCATACTGAAGAACTTTAGTTTAAAAACTCATTAGAATTCATTCCGCTGGCTTCGTTTTTGTCCTCTAACATTTTTATTTGTTCAACCGTTTGTGTATGTACAATATGCGACTTAAAACTACTTAATATGCTCGACTAAAATTTAGGAATTTAGGAAAAATGCATTGACACAAATACAATAAAAAGAATATCGGATAAGTCGTTTACAAAATTACGCGTAAATTAAACTTTGACTGGGGCAGAAAGCTAATTTCTTGCATGAGTGTGTGTGTGTGTGTCTGTGTGTGTTTGCGGGACCCCTCTCATGGCTTTTGCTTGCGTCTTCGTTTGACATTGTTATTATTAGTATCATTATTTTTTATTTGGGCAGTCGGCGAGGCTTTTGCTAAGTACAACAAATACAAACAAGCACATGGCTTAAACAAACTCGTAACCAATGCCAAATTGAAAGCCATTAAGCACCTTATCGGTCAGTTGGCGACGCACGGGGACACAATAGTTGAGTTCAATGCGTGCCCGTTCGGCCAGCTTCAGTGCCAGACCCATGCCGAAAGCGCTGCGCATATTATCTAAAAAAAAAACAAACATATAGTTATTGTTATAATGGATCTATTTGGATCTAAGCTCACCCGTCGTCCAGGAATTGCTGTTGCCCACATTGTAGAAGAAATGCATGCGGAAATTGTTGGCCAGTCCCTTGAAGACGCCGGCAAATGGAAGCGGTGCCCACAAATGTGCACCGGTGCACCAAAAAGTTTGCGCACCAATTGCCGTGCCATCAATAACTGGACCAGCACCGCCGTATTTAAAGCCACGCAACGTCAATGGACCACCGCAATAGAACAGATTGTTGATGGGCAGAGTAGTAGTTTGTTTGGTCTCACGCACCACGCCCACACGGCCACAGAACTGTGCCACAAAGCCGGCGAAAAGTGGAACATTCACTTCCGCATGCGCCGTGCTACTCGTGTAAGCAACATTGCCACCTAAGCCGCAGTACTCGTTGATTGACTTCAGCAGAAGGCCGCGTGTTGGGAAAACTGTGCCATCGCGATTATCGTACACCACAGAGTAGCGCACCAGCGAAGCCAACTTGGGACCACAGTGGTCGCGTATGGCGAAGGGTACTGATTTGTTCAGCAAACCCAGATCTCTGATCGAGTTCTCGTACTGCAGCGAGTGCGTCAGCTGTTCAGGGAGGAAAAATCGAAGCAAACTAGAGAATTGAAGATAACAGTTAGGGTAGAAACTTCAAAATAAATCCTCTACATTCCTTTCTATAAATAAACACATGGGTACTTTAATTTCATTTTTGGCATCAATGTGTTTTTTCCTATTGGTTTAGGTTCGAGCATAGAGGAAATATTTTGAAGACTTGACTCAGATGATGATTTACAAAATATTTATGTTCGGTGCTAGAACACATACTTACATCTACACCCAGCTGTGTGTGTGCCGAGAAATCTATCAGATAACCCATGTTGATAGTCTGAAAAGAGCTGATATCGAAACGATCTGTGTTTCTAAAAATGCTGAAGGATAGTCTGTGAAGCGAGAATGGGATTCGTTAGGATTGTGCTGCATCGATGTAAATATTTGTTTACTCACTCGGGTCGATTCTCGCGGAAACGTGTGTGAAAGAAAGGCTTCCAGAACTTGAGCTGCAGATCATTGGCACGAGTACTGCTGTAGCTGCCCTGGAGAGAGATACTCTCGCCACGTCCCAAAATGTTCGGTATGGTCAGTTCTGTGCGTAGCGAGCCCTCGTTCTGACCCACTTCCGTACCAGCAGAACCAATCACGCGTGACAGTTCCTTGCCCTTGAGCGTGACTTCATAGCCTTGTGGCGATGCATCAGGGCCACGACTTATGTCTATGTGGACGCTCACATCCTTGAAAATGCCCAACTCATGCAGATAGGATTTGGCAGACATGGCCTCCAGCATTAGTTGCTGAAAGTTATTGGCCTTGAAGAGTCCCTCGGCGGCACGCATCACATAATCATTGTGGGTGCGCAGCAAACCACTGACGTTCACGCGATCGACGCGCGCTCCAATCTTGGTGAGATCGTATTTGCTGCCTGGTTCCTTGCCTGCGGCACCGCCGCGTGTTTGCTGAGACATATTGTGTGTATGTCCGCGGATTGGTTAGGTGGGTTTAATAAGAACTGCAGGAACAGAGAAACAAATGAATACAAATAATACAATAATTTGAATTTAAGAGACCCTTTTATGAATTAAGGGCGTCCTCTAACTACACTTATATCCGTACTAATTTGTTGTATTTCTTGCAGATCGAACTGGAGAATCTCAATAGCGCTACGGATGAGATAAATAAGCTGGAAATTGAATTGGAGGTGAGTTCTTGAAACGTTTTTTGAAACAATTTTCTAATCCTTTTTATTATTCAGGAGGCCAACTCTACTTTTCGCATTCTGCTAAATGAGTCAACGCGCCGACTTAAACTGTCCTCCAAAAAACTGGGCAATTGCATAGAGAAGGCCCGTCCCTACTATGAGGCGATGGAGAAGGCTCGCGAGGCTCAAATTCAGTGCCAGCAGGCAGCCGTCAAATTTCAACGGGCCAATGGTAAGTATAATTAATTATTTTTTGGGCATATATGTATATTGTAAGGCATATTCTTTCAGAAATACATACAGCAGCCAAGGAAACGGTGGCTCTGGCCGAGCAACGTTTTATGTCAAACTCACACGAATGGCAGTTCGACAATGCTTGGCAGGAGATGCTCAATCATGCCACCCAAAAGGTCATGGATGCAGAGAAACAAAAGGCCGATTGCCATGCGGAGCATCAACGACGCACGCGTGTCTTTCACAGCGCAGAGCAAAAAGTTCAACAGCTGGAGGATCGCTTCCGGCGCAGTATAAACAAATCACGCCCCTACTTCGAAGAGAAACAAGTGTGCCAGGATCAGTTGCAGACGCAAAAGAACCGCATCCAGGAGCTGCAGCAGCAGGTGGCAACTGCCAAGACCACATATTCTACAGCCCTACGTAATCTAGAGCGCATCAGCGAGGATATACACAGGCAGCGCGGTGATTATCCGGGTCTGAGCGGCTCGCCGCCACCTCCTGGACTCCGCGAACCGGGCGTGGGTGCCGAACTGAATACACCTACATCCACAACATTACCCTCGCTGCCAGATTTTCAGCTGGAGCTGGAAAAATGCGACTATCCTTCGATTGCTGGCAGTCAAATGTCCCTTGGTGGCGACCGCGCCGCACAGCATCCGACATCAACGGAAACGGAGGACGAAGAGGATGCCTGCGACTACGATGAGACGGGCGATTTGCGCGGTTTGGTGGATGAACACGATCTGGAGGCGCTACGCCAGAAAGTCAAAATACTCGCAGTACGACCGATCGAAGGTGGCGAGCAACACAGCGATGTGTGGGAGCATGAGCTGAAGGCCACCGTCGACAAGCTGGATCATCTAATGATGCTAAAGGAAGCCGCCAAACAACAACAAACGGAGCGCCCCAAGCCTGTCCAGATGGTGCGGCCAGATTCATTAGGTGCCGAAGCTCAACAAAGGCACAACGACGATGATGGCGACGTTGTTGTGCTTGTGGCCAAGGGACCACTCATCAAGGTGACCGCTGCAGTAAACAGTTTGCCCGCCACTCCTCAGCATCAAGCCACTCCCATTAAGAAGCTGCAACAACAGCTGGCACCCCTCCCCTCGGTCAATGTTTCTATGCGTGAATTGCCTCTTCTGGCTCGTCTCTCCAATGAGCTTCTAGATCGGAGCAGTGCGGCCTTAGGCGGCATGCGGAAGCAGCTGCGTCGCCGCTCTCTTGAATGAGAAAGTCCCTCTACTACATACCCATACCTTTCCCCTCACACTTCCTAACACAACGCACCTCGGCGAATATCAAATTAAAGTTTGTTTATATTAAATGAATATTGTAAAGTGCAAGTTTTTGATGCCGCATTTAAAAGTACACAGTAATTATAATATACATATATATATTTTCGTAACAAAAAACCTACCAAGCGATGTTAGTTGATATTTGTATAGCTATAGAAAACCCTGCATGGAGTAGAGTATTTGTTTCTTAATGTACAACTAATTATTTGTGATTGCAAAAGCAAAAATCGTATTTTTGTGTCTGCAGTAAAAAAAATTGAAGGTGTAATCAGTACTAAGCAGCTTTAAGTTTATATATTTAGGCAAAAATAACTACAAGAACTCACTAATTTAAAAAGGGCACACATGCACCAAAATAGTTTAGTTTAAAATAAACACAGACGGCAATTAGCGAATAAGTCAAATTCTCAATTAAATCGAACTACACTACATTAAAGGAAAATAGTAGAGACAACAAGTATTTCAGCCTAGTTAAATATATGAAAAAGAATTTCAAATAAAATTTACATTTCATTTAAAACACATCAACGGTGTGACTTCATTTTCCAGTACAAGGGCAACAAGGGAGGCAACATAAATTATTGGTGGTTTCGGCCAATTCGGTCTTGCGCCCAAAACTGTTGCATTACGAAAGACTTTTGCGCTAAGGGGTGCTGTGACAGCATACATATATGTACATAGTTTGGGGCCTTTGAAGACAAGAACATTGCAAACTATAAATCGCCTAATGATGTCATTGCGCTTGCAATTTTGACACATTTCTAAAGCAATACAACTTAAATATTGTTGCCAAAATTATGTAAGCGTGCCTTACCTTTGAATGCGATTCCTTTAAATGCGGCACCTCACGCAACGCCGAAAATATAGGTACTACCAAAACCCGGCTACTAAAAATATATATATAATTTATCTAGCAGAATGCCGAAATGCAAATGCATGTGTGTGTTGTTAAACTAATTCACTTATTGTTACACGCGCACGCACGTCCAAAACTAGAATCAACATTTGCTGCTGCTTCTTCTTCATCGCTGGCCTTGCCAGACATAGTGGCTGCCGGACCATCAGTGTGTACCTATTAAGTTCGGATGGAGTGTTGTTAGCAAGGTAGCAAAATTAACATATGGAAAATATGCCAAGACAGCTATTCAGTTGTCACTTTATTTATTACCTAATTTACTAAATAAATAAATGGCAATTCAAGATGGATTGTATTACAACTATTGAAAAGGTAGGGAATGAATTGTGATGTAAAAACCCCAAACTCATCTCATCTGACCCGTAAAAAGTAACGCTGGCGATTCTTGGAAAACGTAAACAAAAACATATGACTTAAAAGAGGAGAAATTCGGAATATAACCCTTTGTTAACCTAATTCTAATTTCTGGATGTTGCTTTTCACTTTCGTGCACTTGATGCCTTTTGATTTCAATTTTTCGAGTGCCTGTTGAATTTTGCTATGTTTCTCAATTATCGGACGTACTGCGGGCTTGTCTTTGCTGGTGTTGCGTCTTTTAACTTCGACGCCGCACGCTCGCAGCTTATTGAGTATTTGTTGTGTATCTTTACTGGTGTTGGAAGGGGCCAGAGTAGCAGATTGATTAGCTCCTACACTTTTGATTGTGGTTGCTTCTGAATGACTGCAGACTTCTTCCGTTTGCAGACGCCTCAAGTCGGCCACAACGTTAGGCACAATGTAGACAGTTTCTTTCGCTTTAGTGACATTTTCGGATGGACCTGAATTGTCGCAGGATTTCCGCTGTTGCTGGCTTATAAGTATGTTTGTACGTTTCTGTCCACTTGTACGCTCTCTACTCATATGCTGTGCCTTGTTAGCTTCTTGACGCACTGACCTCGTTCGGGCCAGATTTTCTTTGGCATGGACAGGCCCTGTCTTTGATTTGGCGATGGGCAGGACTGGCAAAGTAGATGCCGTGGGTATATCTTGATCAGTATACCAACGTGGATCGTCCAGTTCCGCCGTCCAATCAAAGTCTGTGCTGTGATCGTCGGCGCTTTTCACCGCGTCAATGTCGTAAATTAAAAGCTATAAGGATATATCGTATCAAATTATATATGATTCATTATCAATATTATACGCACCTCCTGAGTGCCATTCAACTGCTTTCGCTCGCACATGGACTCGTCGTAGACCAGTTGCTCAGTTGGCGTCACTATATGCCCAATGCCCGCGCATTTCTTCACGTGCTGTTGAAACACATTCATGTTCAAAAATTGTCTGTGACAACTGCGGCACAACAGGCTCATGCTTCCTTGCTCATCGTAAAGCACATCGGCAAGCCGCACGTAGCGACTACATTTCAATTTCCTTGGCTCGCTCATATGTATGTATGTTGTGCTGTAAAACAAGCTACAATTGATTACTTGGACAGCAACAACTACAATAACGGATATTATTTACTTGTCCTGTGCATCAGCACACCATCCAAAATAAACTCCTGTGTTTAATATTTGTAGATTTTTAAATAACTTTATCCTGTTGAGTCAAACAACAATGTCATCTAACCAGATGCACAAGGATAACAACAGAGACATCTGTTGAACAGTCTGGCAGCCTCCATGCTGAGCGTTTTCCAGCACTAACATTTTAGTGTCTGTTAGAATTACATTCATATTAACTGTTGGCCGTTAAGCTTGCGAAAAAAACAAAAAACGGAAGTTAGGCTAAGAATATTAATAATGAATTACATTAATTATACTGGATTAATAACGGAAGAGAACTTTATACCGAGGACAGTTAGGGCCGTCAAAAGCTCCAATATTTTAAATACATACTCTAGCTCACATCGGGTCGAGTGGTGAATCGATTTAAAAAGGATGACTTTTTGTATATTGGGATATATAAATAAAACTTTTGTAATTTTCATAATCTAACAATGTTTAAAATAGGAGAACTATATCATATAGGAATAATTGGTAAAACAAAGTTAAATTTAGTTCAATGGTTGTAGCGGGAAAAAGAGTAGGTACAGGGTATACTACAATCAATCTTGACAAAGATACAATTCCGATGATAAAGTACAGGCATACAAACTTTACATGAATTCGAATCGCAAAGAAGGTAGAATCGATCAAAAAATGCTGTTCTATTACAATTTCATTTATTGTTTTGTTTTCTTCAATTTCTATATAAAATTTCTACACAGAGTACAAGTATTTTAAAGTCATGGCATTTCACTTATGCTTTTTAACTCATTAAAAAATGAACAAAGTACTGTATTATATAAATTTTTGGATCAAAATAAAGTGCATCTCTATATATATAAAACAGTTTGTGCTGACTGACAGACTGATTGACAGACTGATTGGCAAACGGTAAGAGCTACGAAGCTGAAATTTGGACACAAGTTTCCTGTTAATGGTTTAGGTGACTTTAACAAACACTTGGATTATTTACTTTAAGAAAGAATACAAGATCAACTGCGTAATGTTATTTGAAATTTTCATTAAAGCGTAGAAGAAAGAAATATTTATAATAGTGTAGTTCATACAAACATACACACATATTTTGGGCATATTCATACGTATAGTACTGTATGTACTTATGTATGCATGTGTGTATGCTACTTTATATGGTTGGCCAAATGTTAGAGCTTTTAATTATACTACATAAATATACATACATATTTATGTAAATAGTACGTGTATGGTCACAGTATGTATATATGTATGTATATGTAATTTGGAGAATGTCGGAAGAGAAATAGCATATAGTAAACAACCTTATAATTGTAAGCAAAATACTGAGTCCATCAAAGGCGGGCAAGACCTGCTAGTTTCCAGTAAATTAATTATTATAGTGGATTAAAAGTACGCCTAATATAAATGGAGAATTATATGTTGTGTTTAATATTTTCACGCTCTTTCTATCGTCATTGATTAACGTCCTGCAATTGAAATTAAATCGTTCGCAAATGATTCGTTTTCGGTGCATTACAAAAAAAGGCGCACTCGGCAATTCCGGCGCCATTTATTTGCAATTTTTTTCCATCATCGAGCACTTGTCATACAAGGCTTGACTTTTGCTGAAAAAAGAAGTGCCTGCCCTTTAATGTTCTTGCATGTTCGTGTCGAGTGCAATGTGCTCTGGACTGCGTGTGTTTGTTTGCGTGTATCTGTATGTGTGTGTGTGTGTGTATATGTGTGAAATGTCGCGCACCTTTTTTTTGGCAGTCGATTAAGAGTGAAATGTGTTGTACATGTGCCGGTAATAGGGACCTGCCGGCGGAGACCTGACCTCGCAATTGTTTGTTGTTTTAAGTACTTGACAAGAAAACTGGTAAACAGATATTAAAGCGGGGCCAGTGAACAGCTAAGAAAATGCAAGGATAAACATTACGAGCCTCCGATGGCAAGGATGGCCAGCAACACTTTTGCAAACGTTGCAATTGGATTTTGTAGCATGAAGTTGTTGGCAACGTCGTGCATGCAATTAAGCCGGGAACACGACAACGCCACTGCTGCCACTACATGCTGACCATGCAAATTACGTACACACACAAACACTCGCACACACACGCACACAAACACTCACGCATCTTTGTCACCAATTGGGCCGTGCGTTTGAGTGATGCAGCGAGACAGGCAACAGCCAGGCTAGGCCAGGACAGGCCAGGATATGCATGCCAGTGGAGCTCAGCTCTGGTCCATGTTGTTCAGACATTCCCAAAGTTAAGTTAAATGGACTTGCGGTGCACTCAAGCAGGCACACACTCTCATACACACACACACACACTCACACACACAAACAGACAGCGCACTCGTCCTCTTTATGTTGCACTTCCTGTGTGAGCATTGGCCCTCGGTTGAAACTGGTCTTATATCTGCACCGTGAGAAGTTATTTCTTTATAAATAAGCTGTATGATCTTGTTTTCCATATTTTTCCATATTTTCTGTTTCTATGAATGACATCTTTATTGCATAACATTGCTATATAGATAATAAATGCTGATGTTGTTTGAAATAATATGAATCATACTTTCGTCGAATTTGCCAAAGAGACTATTTGGAATTTATTCGTGTGACACTTTATTTGATTTCGTTTCTAACCGCTATAGTTTTTGTAATTTATTATAATTATTGAAATCTGTCAGTCAGTACCCATACATGCAATCGACAAAAGATGGAAAATGTATATATATTTAATGGAAATTAAAAAGTTGACAAATAACAAGCCGACAAGTAATCAGTTCTTATATGACACAAGAAAGGAAAGTAAACCAGAGACAGACTTAGCTACATCTAGTAACGAATTATACAATGAAAACTGCATAATTTCTTTGTACTTAAGCTGTAAGAACATTGATGTTCATCGTGAAAAACGATTTGTTTTACTTGAATGATGTGATCAGGAAAAAAAATTTCTGAAATTGTACTGGGTCCTATTCCTGGGACTGGTTTGGTTGCCCAAGTATTGCCTTCGCACACTTGCTTGGGATCCCTAGCAGATGCACAAAAAGGCGGACGAAATCAAAAAAAGAAATCGAACAAAATATCATCATAAGTTAAAAAAAAAACAAGAGAGAACGCTACAGTCGAGCAAGCCCGACAGTAAAATAAAAAATTTTAAAAAATTAAATTATTAAAAAAATGAATGAATTAATTAATTAAATTAAATTAAATTAGAAGACATGTTTCTGATCAGTTTTAACAGCATACATTTACATCACGTGCCTATTCGTGTTTATATGCGTGTATGTATGCAGCACAAAGTTGAACCAAAGCAGCAACAACAACATCTGCGGGCAGCGCTGCCGGCAGAGCTGCAGGCGAATACAGTCAGTAAAGCTGGACTCCAATGAATGGAAGATATTACAACAAATTCTAGGAGTCCAATAGTACTTGCAAAGTCCCTTTAAATTCTCGAAGTCTAATTGCAGCTTGTTCCGTAGCTTTTCATATTTTTCTTTCTGTGTGGCTATGACAAGGTATCCACTAGGTGTCCACTAGTAGATTAAATTAAACGTACCAACTGCACCCGTACCGAAATAGCAACAACAACAACACCATTAAGCGTGTTTACACCATGTCCGACCAGTTGATATGCCAACTACGAATACACATTCATATGGACGTAAAAACACATACGTGTCCATGCACGAGCAGCTCCTGGACAATGAACATGTGGCATGCCTCACACACGCACACACACAGGCAGGCAGACAGGCGAGCAGCGCGTTGTCTTTGTGGCCGTATTCGCCAGTGTCGCCAGCTATTGCCATTTCTATTGTGTTCTTCAGCTTTTTGTTTATTCTCTAGAGAGTGCCACTTCTTGGTGCACCATTTCCTAAAAGCGGAGCAGCAGGAAAAAATGTTGCATACTTTCAGGTGCAGGTGCGGTCATAATACAAAAGGTGTTGCATTATTGTTCTGTACAAGTATGTAGGAACTGACTTTGTATTAGCCTTATCGGCATGTTGAATTCAGATGACAGCTCAATGTTTCGGAGGATGGCGTGCTAGATGAACTCCATGGATGGACATTTTCAAATTTGAGCTAAATACGCTGTGCTAATCTTACAATAATTCTTCATGCATTAAAGGCGTTGCGTTGCAGTTCTGGATGCGATTTACTATATACTATCTGCCATGCTATGTGACAGGTCGTGTTTTTTGTGGGCTTCGTGAAAAAACGTGTAGTACTGAAAAATTCAGCGACAGTCCATAATTTTTCTTACTCCCAGCCTAACTATTGCTTTCGCTGTCGTCAGCACTACCGATACCGAAACCGAGTATTTCGGTTAACAAATATTTAGTTCTGAAAAGCACGATTGCAATTCCGAATTTTACCGTCAATTCATGTGGCGGCAGTCCAGAAGGGTTTAGTGAATTTAAATGTCTTCAATATTAATCACGGTCTCGATCGATTTATAATTTTTTATTTTTATGGGGTCTTTTGAAAAATATTGCCTGAATATTTAAAGTGACTATGTTTTGAGGATGATTATGAACTAACAGGTAATTGGTAATTTTTTTATACCTATGGTTACATTATTGGCGTTTTAGTAAGGATTCCATGCTTTTTTGGAGTGAAAGAACCCTTTATATCGGTCCAGTAGATTCGGAGCCTTTTCAATTCAAACAAACAAACAAACAATCAAATCTTTCTCTTTATAATATTAGTATAGATTATCTCATGATAGGAATATACATAACTACAGCTTTCCTCTGATCACCTACCTACTAGTAGCCACATATGATTCTGCTCCTGATATCAAAGTACTGGATCTCAACATTGGCATTTCGTGCAGGTTCGTGCAGGGAGCATCCCGCACTGGTCCCGCTAGCCAAGCGCATTGATCTATTTCTCCAGACACTAATGCTCATTAAAAAGTGGCAGCTTGATGTTAGATTCTTCCAATGTTAGATTGCACGGCTCCAATCTCTCCGCCAATTCGTCTGCAAGGACTTCAGCCTTCTGTTGGCTAGAATAGCACCAGCCACCTGCTGGACCCTTAATTTGAGCCTTTGGGAGATCCAATCAGAGTTCATATTTGCTTTCAACGGAAAGTATGTTTACGGCAATCCTATTAACAATAGGAAAGTCCAGTGCAGAGAAGGTAAGCCGTGTATTGTACGAGTAAAATGTTGGCTCACCTACCCCATATCCAATATTACCCCACTATGGGCGTTT